CGTCTTGTTTGCTGAGCAAGTCGGCGGCTCTGCTCGGTGGATGGAGGACACGGACCCTTTTCTTCCAGCTCACTGCGATGCCCGAGGACACGGCTCCTGAACACGACAAAAAGGCAGCAGAAGAATCCAGCGAGCAAGGGGAGTCCCCACAAAGTCCTCATCGGGAAGGAATTTCTTTCTTATGTGCTGGGATCTTAATTATTGTTCTTCGCAGGCACCGAACCTGCTCCTAGTAAGATCAGGCTACTAATCAGCTGGCAGGGCGGGTATCATTTTGGCTTGGCTCCTGGATGGGTTTATTCAGGGTCGCTCGGAGTCAAGAGGTCCAAGAGGGATCCCGGCCAGCGCTCCCCATCTGAAGGGGCTTCCTCCGTTGGCCACTTCTGGTTTGAAAATCTGTTCAAAGCGCTTGATATTTTCTTCTTTCGTATCCTCTCTGGTGAACAAGCCGCTGTGTCGCTGCAGAATTTAATTAAGTTTAATTTTGCACGACGGATAGAAGAGCAATTTGAGTTGCATGGAGCAGATCAGGGCTCGCTGTCTCGGAACGGGTCAGCCTGGCCCTTTTGGGCTCTGACGCAGGGTTTGCTTGCTCAGTTGGCCGTTTCTAGCCCTTGTTACAGTGGAAGGTCCTTTTGTGGTTTGGTTTGATGCCTCTCGGTACATTGGCTAGAAATTTTCCTTTCTAAATGGGGAGCTTGAGCTCGCGCGGTGACAACGAGGGCAGGCTGAAAGAAAACCCCCACTTTTTACAAAAGCTGCAGTTCCTCGGCACAAGAACGCTAAATTGTGGGGGGACATTTTTAAGGAACTTTGGCCTCTTAGCAGCAACTAGAAAATATTGTGATAATACTGAGAAGGGAAGATAAGGCTACAGCGTAATTACAGACTCCACCTGAACTCCTCACTCTTCAGCAAAGCTCTGAAGCCAGGGATGAGATTTAGTGCCGAGTTTTCTGCAGAGCTGCCTACGTGGAGAGCAGCTTCCAAGCGCTGAAGGAGAGCGTGGAAAAACGAAGGTGTTAGATGCAAGCCTGTGAATCCAGCACATCCCTGCAGCAGGTGGGAAGGGAATCCTAAATAACGGGCTGTGCCCTGTGTGAGTCTTGTCTATGCCTTGAACTGATCAAGACGGCGCAGCTCTCCTGTGTTTTACCTTTTTTAAAGAAGTGAGAGCATTGGGTCTGATTAAGGGTGCCCGTTTTGGTGATTCCTAAGTGCTGGTAGATTAACAGGGATGTCTCGGTTTTGTGGGTGACCAGAACCCCGTTAATAAGCACCTGGGTTTCAATTATACCAATCTGGGCCCCCTGGCTTTTATTGAATTTCAGCTCAGGGCTGCTGATCTCTGCTGATGGACGCCTCCTGGGTGCTCCGTGTTGCATTTAACGCTCATCTCCCTCCCGTGCAGTGAGAGGTTTTTGCAAAGCATTTCTTGGGACGTGCAGAGGTTCGAGGTGGGTTAAACCTCCTCGTGGAGGGAGCCACGAGCTTGTCCTTTGGGAAGCCTCCCCGCGCCAAAGCCTGAGTGCCGAGCGGACACGAGCCGGTGAAATGGAGCCTGGAGGGACGGGGCACTGACAGCAGCTGTGCGTGGACGTGCAGTGACCTGCAGGCGCTGGGTGCGTCTGCCAGGCCTCCTCGGGGAGAACCTCCCCATCTGCTCAGCAGCAGAGGTAAAGCGGGAGTTTTACAGCGTAGCTGTCAGCTAGGAGTTCAGATTCAATATATTCTCTGGTTCTTGGGAATTCAGGGCTTGCGTTTTGGGCACCAGGAATCATCGTGCCTTGCTACACCCCTTTGGATGCTCTCCTTCCTGCATAAGCTTCCAGAAGGAAGGTGCTTATTTAGGGCCCTCTGCGCTAATCATTCCTTGTGCTTTAATTTTGCTCTCTGGCGTTATCAGGAAGATAATTTGGGTAGAGGCGAGTCCTTCAGCGCCTTCAAGGACGACGAGTAGGGAAGCTGCTTGGCTGTTTCCATCCCGCAGGCTTTTCCCTGCGTGCATCCAACCCTCCGGAGCAGCTGCTGAAAGGCCCGGAGGCAGATCCAGCATTTGGCATGCCCAGGAACCATGTCATCGCGCCAGGGACCAGCGCTCTGCCCGTGTCATCGTCACGGACCTAGCCCTGCACCGCGCTCTCCGACGCGCCGGGGGCCTTTCCTTGGCCAGCGCGGCTCCGTCGGGGAACCTGCGAGGCTGGAGGTGGCTGTTTGGGGGAGTTTGATCCTTTTTAAGCAATGGGGCTGCGCGGCGAAGGCGCTGCCCTCCCTTGCACGTCCCTGGAGGTGACATTATTGCTGTGCCACCGGGAAGACGCCCTTGCCACGTGCACAGGAATCCATCTGTGTTCAATCTGCGGCAAAAAGCCACCGGTTTCACCGATAGCTGCGGTGTTTAAACGTCCCAAACGTGGCCATTTACTTTTCTGTTTGGATTGTGTTTCGAGCTGCTGTAGCTCTGTTTTTCGCCGCTTTTTCCCCCAGATAAGCCGGTCACTTCCACCACCATCGCCCCTCTCTTCTGTCATCTCCCGGCGCTGCCGTGTTCCTCCTCAGCGAGCCCGGCTGTGTTGCCCTTTGGAACGAGAGGATCCTTTGAAGGTGATGGATGCGCCCTGCCCGCTGCCGCGCCAGGCTCCGGGAAGGGCTCTTTGATCCATGGCACTTCATTGGGAGCGGATATTATGATTTACCTCCAGGATGTGAGGGAGCCGGCCTCTCCATTGCTCTGTGTGTGACCAGCTCGGAGCAAACTGGGTCACTGGAGGCTACTTGGAGGACTCTGAAACATGCCTGTGTTTTGCAAACGATCCCAAAACCGTGATAACGAAGGGCACAAAATGAGGCTTGTACACAGAATTCATTTGTTGTTAGTGTGTCACACACACAAGCTCTTTAGCTTCTCCTGGTCTGAGGGAAGGGCTTTTGCAGCTGCAAGCGTTATCTGTTCTCCCATCCGCACTGCTTGGTCCAGGGACAGAGCATCTCCTCCCACCTGCTCTTATAATTTATAGCCGTGCACTTGGCATAGTTGATCTGTTTTAGGGTTTTTTTTCTGCCTACATGCAGGAAGCACCTACCAGAACGATTTCCCTTGCGATATTTAAGCCCTGGGCTGCACACCCGTGCTCTAAGCTGCCCTTTGGGAGAGGAGCTGCGCGTGCTCGCGCATTCCGCTTTGCACAACAGCGTTTTAATTCTGTTCACCATGCTCCTAATCTCACGGCTGGCAGATAAATTGAGTTATTTGAGCCCTTTCCCTAAGGACTTCATGGTGCTTCCTGGGCAGCGTCCCCGTGGCATTAGCGGGGGTTATCTCAGCTTTGCAAGAATCTGCTCTGCTGTTTTCCCGGAGTGAGTAATTGCTTGGCCCGAGAAAGCAATGTTGATTCCTGCTGCTTTTACGGCAACGGCTGGAGCTGGCGATGCCCTCCGTGCCCGCCTTGGACTTGCCGCCTGGAGGTGTCGCTGGCTTCGTGTTCGGGCCAAGCAGAACCTCTTTGGCAGGGTTTTGGTGTCCGTGCCCAGGCGCTTTCAGCCCTGGGGCGCTGCCGAACGCGCTCGTGCTCCTCCAACCTCCCCGTGTTTGATGGCGCTTCCCCTTCCCTCTGCTTTTACCTAGGGAGGCTGCTCCGCCGAGGCGTGCGGAGGGGCAGCAGGTGAAGGCAGCTCCCTTCCGCATGCTCCAATGCAGCTGATGCATCGCTGCAGCGAGCGAGCATCTGCTCTCTTCGCAGGGGCCCGGGCGCACCGTCCCCTTTGGCTCCTGGAGCAAGTGCCGCGGCTCCCGCCTCCGCTTGCCCCAGCCTCGCACCGCGTTATTTCTGCACATTGCCTTTGGTGCTCGTTCTGTTACTCCCGTTTAGTGGCGTGCACCAAAGGATCTGTCCTCGTGCGGGCTGGCGGCAGCGCTGCGACGCTGGCCTTGGCGCGGGTACAGCGAGCAGCCGGGATCCGTATTCCCGTCACACGGACAGCCCTCGTTCCGTGCAAACGCCCTTGAAAGGCCAATTGCACCAAGCTCCCTGGGGGGTTGAGGCAGCGGAGAGTTGCTGTCATCCCTGGCGAGCTCTAAGGACGTTTAGAGATGGCCCTTTTGGTTTCCCTTCCCCATTCCCTGCTCGGAAGGGGCTCCCAGAAGGCAGGACCAGCAAGTGCCCTGTGCCCTGCAGCTGCTGCCACCCGGGGCTCTGGATTTGAGAGTGGATGCTGGGCGGATGTGGGGAGGAGTAGAAGGTGCAAGTGCTCCGTGCAAGCGTTCCGAGTGCTTGGAGCGCTATGGATGCAGCGAGCCCCGAGGGCAGCGGGTTGCTGCTGCCCGTCGTGCGGGTCCCGCGTGGCTGCAGGATGCCCGCGGGCTGGCACGAGCTGCCGATAAAGACCAGCCCTGGCTGCCAGGCTGCCGGGCAGGAGCCCGTTTCGTAGCGCTCTGCAGCACCCCGTGTCGGCATCGCGCCTTGTGCGTGTCTTGATCCCACCTGCAAGTTCCTCAGCACCAAAGGGCTGTTTCTTCCTAAAACACTGACTTTTTTTTTTTTGTGCTCCATCACTGTATGGGAGTGAAGCCGCCTCCTGATTTCCCTCATTTTAGTTCCTCTTCTATCTCATTTCAGAACTTTCTCTGGAGAAAAGCTGGGTTTTGTTATTAAAATCCTAATTCCTCCTTTCTCTCCTCTTTCCCCCACACGTTCAAAACTGTCTTGATCTCATGTGACTTCAAAATTATTTCCTGTGCACACGTTCTTCTTTCTTTGCTAAATAAGCATTTATTGTTCCCTTTTGCAACAGACACATGCCCGCTTGAAGGGACGGACATGGGATTTTTCCCTGGGCACAAGTGTTAGAAGCTTTGGATTAATGATGCCTTCCCTTCTGCTTAACATTTCCTTCCAGCACGGAGCATATTTAGGGGCTACTAAAATCTTCAGAGCTGGTGGGGAAATGAAACTTGAGATTTGAATTTGTCTTGATCTTGTTTTCTTGTTTCCTGCCCTTGTAGGAGTGGCTCGACAAGCTAGTGTGCAAGAGGAATGGAAGATACCATTGGTAAGTGCATGCTCAGCTGGGGCTCTGTCCTTTCCTCTGTGGTTAGATACCATAAAGAACCTGCTTGCTTTGACCTTTGGATCTTCACATGCAGAAAAAGGTTGGAAAATAAGAGAGCTTAGCAGATATATCAACTGCTGCTCAGCTGTGGAAATGGCATGGACCAGATCTGATCAAAATGGCATGGACCAGATCGGATCAAAACTGTAGTGGAAGTCTGAAAGATGATTTTTTGGTTGTTTTTAAGTCTCCCATCTGTGGAAACTGAAATACAAGTCTCCCGAGTATCCCAAGCCGTTGAAAACAAAGTAATATCCCTTTTTTTAATAGGTAGGAGGCTGGAGGCATTGAGCTGTGATTGGAACAAGCCATGCTGCAAGCCAAAAAGAAGGATTAGCTCCAGACTTCTCTTCCTGTGTTTATTTCCCTAGGCTGTTCTGTCTCGCAAAGATCTAGGATTTTTTTTTTAATTAAACAAAACTTGACTTTAATGCTGTTGCTTTAGGCACTCTGCATTGCTTGCTGTGAGGCAAGCAAAGTGGTCATTGGGTTAAACTGAAGCTGATTTTAGTTGCAGCTGAAACTGGTAGATTTTGACACAGCAGAAATGCTTGAGTGACTTTTCCTCCTGTTTTTCTAAAATGCCTGTGGAAGATGCTGGTTAAATGGCCATTTTTCCTACTGAAATGGGATTTGCATGAAAGCTCTTGCCTGCACCGTGGGAAGCGAGGCTCCCTTCAGCAAGTTAACCCTGTATCTCGTGCACCGTGGTGGTACCTCGTGCAATTGCTGCAGGCAAACCTCAGAAGTGTTGAACCATCTCAGCCGAACCCGTAGCAAATCTGCAGCAGGCACTGGATGCAGGAAAGCTCCCTTTCCGTAATCTCCATCATTAAATTATCATGGAGGGGGCAGCTGTGCAATTGGCGAGTCCGAGCTCATGGGGAAGTGCAAGTCTGTGGCCACAGATGCTGTTTCTGGACTATCTCTGTGCAAGCAGGTGATGCCACCCTTAAAACCTGAGGTTCTCCGTGCTTCTCTGCAGCGTGGTGCTCCCAGCGGGGCGCGAGTACCAGGCCTGCCTTGGGAATTCCGCTTTGCCGTCCCGGAAAGCCGCTCTGCCGGACCCTGGTGGCACATGTGGAGCAGCTGGAAGCCGAGCGTACATGCATAAAACCACGTCACGCTGCTGTCGCTGGTGGCAAGAATTGCTTGTCGGGTGCACGTCTAATCCGGAGCGATTATGCTCCCTCCCGGTTTGCTTGTGGCTCCCTAATCCTCAGCGAGTTTTGTTTCTCAAGGGGGCGATGGGAGCGAGCGCGGGGCTGGCAGCCGATGCCGAAGCGACGGCAGCTCCCTGCGTGAGCCCAGCCAGAGCCCGGGCGGCAGCAGGGCTGGTTCTTCCATCTCCGCAGCCTGCGTTAACGGGGTGGCTTTGGGCAGTGCTCTGGGCTCAGCTGCTCGGCCCCGCGCAGCCTCTCTTGGGTTGGCAACAGCCCGCTGTGTCCTTGTCACCCAGCTCTTCGTCCCTGGTCGTGAGCTCTGGTTTCTGGAGAGGCCCATGGCCCTGCAGCCTGTGGAGGTCCCTGGGTGCAGGTGGCCTAGGACACCCAAGGCTTTCTGCTCTTGTTTCCACCTTGTGGAGAATTTACTCTGACCAAATTCACCTGGGCACGTTTGGGCTATGGAATCTGCGTTTGGGCTTTGCATTTACAGATCCCCCCGCAGCTGCTTGTGGGGCTTGCCCAGGTTCATCTCCTCAGCGCTGGGAGCCACAGGCCCCCCATAAATGGCAGAATAACCAGATGGGTCCGTTACTGTTGTTTTTCTCCAATTGCTTTGCTTTTAAGGATGCTCCTTCTCCAAGTGCTGCTGAGCTCGGACGCGCCGGCTCCGCCGCCGGCAGCGGGGCTGGAGAGGAGGTAAGACGGGAGCCGCCGTCCCGATTCCGCGGGCAGCTCGGAGCTGCCGCGGTCCGTGGCCGCTTGTCCATTAACTGCACGCCCAGCGCTGCATGGCTGGCTTCTGGGGTAACATCCCGGCGCATGGCCGGAGCCGCCGCGCTCCGAGGGGCCGCCCGTGGGCATCAATCCCTCCCGGCTGCCACGCTCCCCAGCTGGGCCGGGGGCTCCTCCTTGGCTGCCTTCCCTGGCTAATTAAAAAGGAAATTTGCTGCTGTCTTCACATTTTAATTGGTGCTCCTCCCTGCAGCCTGGTAGGACCGCGGTCTCCAGGCAGCTGCAGCCGAGTCTCAGAGCTTCTCTATTAGCAGTTATCCTAGAGCAGGTGGAACGGTTTGCTCCCTACCCGAGCTCAGGTAGGTTTTGGGGTGTGCAGTGGTTACAGAGTAGGTTCTCGCAAGTCCTGGGGCTTGGGCCTGGGCGAGTTGCTCTAGTTGGTTGCCGGCGGTGTGGACGAGCGTGTGGACGCGCTGTGGCTGCGATGGCATCGGGTGAGGGTGTTTCTAAAGGAGACCTAGGCAAAACGGAGCCGCGTAGCAGGAGGAATGAGCAGCGGCTGCTTGGGGGGCACGCAGGCTGCTCGAGGTGCAGGAATGCCCGCCGCTCGTCCGCCTCCGCCCGCTCAGAGCCGTGGAAGCTCCGGGCGCTCGCGCGGCCGCGCGGTGACGACACGGACGCCGTGCGCGGGGACGGTCGGACACCGCCGTGGTGGCCGGAGGTGGCACGTCCCCCACCTCCGCTGAGCCCGCGCTGCGGGGACTGGCGCAGAGGTGAGCGCGAGGAAGAAGCAGTTCCCAAACACGGGCCCGGGGCCGCGTGACCACCCTCTGCAAGGCCTCCTGGAGGTCCCACCTACACAGCGGCTTGCCGAAGGGAAAGGTATTCCAGCAATTCCCTCCGGATCCTTCCTGTCGCTGCGCGGAGGGGGCAGCAGCGGTGTCTATTTTCAGAGCGTGTTTCCGCTGTCCCATTTGCCACCCACACCGTCACCGTCCAGATCCTTTTCCAAAAGCTGTTCTCGCACTTGGGGCACTGTGAATTAAAACCAAGGGCCTTTCCTTAGCAAAGGCATCTTCTCGAGATCCGGTATTTTATCTTCCTGCAAGCCTGAGCGTAAAAAGCAAATATTTAAGAAGTGAGAGCTCTCCGTGCTTGGCAGGGCCGTCTCCCCTTGCGCCGCTGGAAGCTCTGCTGCGTGTCGGGCTGGCCCAGCACGTGAACCTGCATTGCTCGAGCTAATCATTGATGCAGGGAATGGCCTTTTCCCATGGGAGGCGTTTGCTCTCGGATCCTCCTCCCTCCTCTACTTGCGTTTGTTGTTTACAGTTTATGCTTGTAGGTGCTGTTGGAGGTCCTGTCCTTATTCCCATTCCTGTTGCAGGAATGGGAATAAGGCTTTTTGGAGCCCCCCTAGAAGGTCCAGCTGTCCAAATCGGGAAGCCAACAGCGAAATAACCTTTTACATGCACAGGCTCCTACCCAAAGCTGCTTCTATCTTAGAGATACTAAATATACGGATGGTTTAAGAGTCTCCCATAGTTATTTCTTTATTCAAGACTGTCGTGCATTTACCTCCTGCTGTTCTACCTTTCCCCCCCCCAGTTCTTTCCCTACTAAACCCAAGGGTTGTGTTAACCATTGCAAAATACTCCTGGAGTCCCTAACCCATGTGCAAACAAAGCAATAATTTGTTTTAGCCTCTGTACTGGCTTTGGGCTACGTGCTCATAAGGAGCCCACTGTGACGTGAATCTGCTGCCCTTGGAGGCTGGCCCTACAAACACAGAGCGAGTAGACGAAGGGACTGGGAAGGATATTGAGCTATTCCAGGGCTAGATTTTTCCAAGTGGGATCAGCTCCTGTCCCCTTTTAGGACTTAATGCTTGGAAGGGAGACGGATGCAGCAGCAAAGGTGCTGTGCTGGGTGGATACGCTGCTAGGGTCCTGTCCCAAAGACCCTTTAATTACAGGTTCTGTCAACCTGCTGCGTCAATGAGTGAAAATAACCTTTGGCTCTGCGCCCTTGCTGATGCCAGCAGTTGCTCCTGGGTGTTGGTGCCTCTTTGGAAAGGTTTCCCCAAGATTTTCTTCCCTAAGCAGAAGGTTTCAACCTGGCAGGTTCCCCATCCTGCTGCAAGGACCGTCTACCTGCTTTGGGAAATGCCCTTTGGAAGGGAAGAAGGCCCCAAAGTGGGGGATGAGGGGGGCTCTGAGGCAAGGGGCGCTTGGTGGTGGGTCTTTGCTGAGGATTTGGGTGGCTCCAGCCTCGGGTTTCCAGAATTCCTGAGCTGTTGCTGCCTGGGTGGGAACCCCCTTGTGATGACTAAGGTCTGACTGGAAATCAGCTGCCTCCAGGCTGCTGCCAGCGCCGCCTTTGTCACCAGCCGCTAGTGAGAATTTAGGGGAAGTTTGTCAAATGGGCATTTTTGTGCGAAACTGAAGTGCTTTTTAGTTTAAACTGGGCTGCTGGAGCTGCCATTGACTGTTTCCTGGGTTTGATCCACCAAGCCAAGCTCGGACCATTAGTGTTAGGGTCCTTTGCTGTCTCAGAGCTCTGAGGACTGCCAGAGTAGCAGTAAATTGGAGGAGGCCCTTGGAAATGGCTTTATAATGCCTTTTCCATAACAAAAGAACAGGTTTTTCTTCCAGGAAGATACAGAAGCTGATTACCTTATGTGGCGCTATGAATTATGTATATAATAACATAACTGTTTTGTGCAGTATAATAGGAGGGAGCCAAAGTGGTAAAAGTGCCTCAGATTAAGCATTTAATTACAGCAAAAGGATGCTAATTTGCAAGCGTGCATCCTACTGTTCCTTAGTCAAAGCTACAGGCGGCTCGTGCAGATCTCATTTGAGACCATTTGACTTCTAAACAAGATGCAGTTTGCCAACAATAGGACATATTTTCATATAGGTTCACGGGCAGGTTGACTGCGCTCGTCAAGGGGGCAAAATGCACCGGGGGGTTTCCTGGTGGGAACCTTTTGCGTGCACATTTGCAGTGGACATTGCAGTTTTGTGGGAATAATTTGCCGAG